CGAGAAGAGGCTTTCTTAATCTTCTATAATAGAGACTGATACTACATATTTTAATATCAAAATTAAACTATTTGCTTTTTCATGATAAAATTTCTATTGTTTTCTTCTCTTCTAACGTCAAAAAACATACATGTTACCAATTGATAGAAATCTTGATTTGAGATCTACATTAAGTTTTCAAAACAGTAGTACGTGCTCTCTTTGTGCATCTTACTTGCGTTTTTCAATAAATTTGATGGAAAACTTTTACCATACGTCGACGTGAATGCTACGACAACTAGCAATATGATGAAGCTTGCCATTTTTCTAGAATCTTTAGCAGTATATATTGTAAGAAATATTTTCAATTTTTATATTATAATGTTAAGAAAAAATAAATATTTGATTTTTTCACTACCATATTTCATAGACAATTTAGATATATTTAATACTTTCTTTAGTTTTTCAATTAGATAAAATGTTATTTGCTGAAAAATAAATACTTCGTTAATCCTATATTTTTCATGCGGGTATTGTTTTTGTTAATTGTTCTTCGTCAAAAACCTTTTGTCAATAGGCATATTTCAATACAATGCAGGTGATAAATAATATTCTTAATGGAAAAATAAATGAATTCAGTCTATAAAAGATACAATAAAAACGCATTGGCATTTAATGAAGTTTATTCGAATTGATATTAATTGTTTATATTGCATAGGATCATTTTACATGACATATTTTGGAAGATGTATACTTCAAAAATATTACAACTACATATTATTCTCTTTAAATTATGCCATACTTTTAATATTTTAAACCAAGATCATAAAAACTACGACAATTGTTTATTACGTTTAGAATAGTATAGTCTTCGAAAACTAGGGTGTGGGTATGGAGAGCTATCACAATACAACAAGTTAGTATTTCATTTGAGCTAATCAAAATTATCAAGTGGCAAGTAATTGTACAAATGATCCAAAAATTTAGAAAATTTTCGAACCAAATACAAATTACTAAATTAAGAATCTAACTCGAAAGCTAAATTCTTAAACTCAGTATCGAGTGTGAAGAGCTACCATAATACTAAAAGTTAGTATTTCATTTATGCTACAATGAAAGTTATCCAATGGTAAGTATTCGTCTTATGATTCAAAATTTTTTTGTATGTGCAACCATTACCGGTTTCACTACTCTCTGACGAAATAGATCATTAAATGGTTGAATTTCATCTTATTAAAGACGAAAAGCCGCTCTGCTATCATCCAAAAAGTAATAGTGTCAGGATACTCGAATAAATTATCATTATGAAATTTTTTCAGGTGGACAGCCATCGCGCGACGTTTCGTCCTTGCTGAAAGGACTCATCAGGTATGTTTACAATCTATATATATATAGTGATCTACAACTCTCCGAATATAAAATTATTACGTGAAAATATTTCCATCTGTATTTTGTTATTTTAATATAAATTTATGTGGCATTATTAAGGGTGGGTGTGGATTTAAAAAGGAATAACACTCACACCCACTTCCTCTTCGATTGGGATAGCTGCACATTGATTAGACAGAAAGATATAAGATAATTAATTCTATAAATGAATCGCAGACTTAATGAAAGAATAAACTTGAATCTCAGCCTTTGTTTAACTGACTACTTCAATTAGAAAAAATGGAATAGAAGTGATAAGATGCACAATTGATTTTGACTTATTTAATCAAAAATAAAACATGTTACGATGTACTATTCTATTTATTCAAGGTTTTAATAAACAGGCAAAACTTTGAAGAATCAAAAACAAAAAAGTAACTTTCAAAGGTATTTTTTTCATATACTGTAGCATTTTACTGTAGGAAAAAATGAATCATCGTATTTTCTAAAGATTATTCTAGAAAATTTATCCAGTAATTTCAAAATGAATATTTTAACAACACTTTTTTTTCTGATATATATTACGCTCTCTCTCTCTCTCTCCAACAAACAACAAAAACTTATTATATTTTCTACTTACCATATCTGTTTGAATCGTACATGGGATCGTGTCATTTAGCTCAAGAAACTTTCTCCTTTTATTATTTAATAAACACCATCTATCAAAGTTTCTATTTGTTGACTTTAAAGCGTGTTCTAATGCAAGAACAAATACAACAAATCTCTGTGGGTGATCTATGAATATGACATTGGAATTGTTTCACTATTCAATCTTTAAAAAAATAATCTTAAATGTACAAGTAATCATCACTTTTTTTGTATGACGATTGGTCTTCATTTGCGTCTTAAGAATATTGTAGAGGAGATGTAACTTTCAATCTGTGTGGATCACGGTCTTTTCTTCTAATAAATATATCTTCCATTCACAATTGTCTCATTAAAATCCAAAAATAAATATAAAAAATAAAGAAAAATTGATTGAACTATATTGTGTTCGAAACGCGAAGGTCTAAAATTTCGATAATTTTTAAATCACGTCAGAGACCAAAGAATTATTACTGAACATAGTGAACTCATCATTATTTAGTTATTCGATTGACTAAACATACCAAGATGATCAAAACAACCCATGGACATCAATTTTTCTTTACGTGATTCACTTCTTTAATAATGTAACTTAAAGGAAGAAGAACTCTGACGTACCTAAACTCTATATGTATTATTTTCAACATGAAATGAATTTTTATGTTGAGCATTGTTCAGATCTAATTCTTTCGTCGTCAATTAAAAATAAAATAATTCGATATTAACATTGAAAGAATTTCTTTTTTTTCATCATGTCTCTCTGGCACTATTGAATAAAAAAATACTACAATTTAACTTTTCTACTATACCATATAAATGTTTAACGTTTCGTGTTGATACTGTCAGCTAGAAAATTATATACAGATTTTATTGATATATTTTCTTTTAAATAAATATGTTTGTCATAAAGAAATAAATTTTCTAGACTTTCAAATTCTGCATCTACGGTGACTAAATTAATTAAGAAATCTAACAACAAACAATAAGATACACAAAAATATTTTACATATCTTATTAGAACAATGAAAGTTTTATAATCAATTCAGTTGATCGAAAATTGAGTCTATATGAATATTCTCTACACTTGCATCCGTATTTACATGCACATCGTAATATTAAATATTAATTTAAAAAGTACATTTATTTTCAAGAAAGATTGCTGAAAAATAAGAGTTGAGAACAACAGATTGGTTTGGGTGTTTTACAATTAATTTACATTTACTTAAAATAAATTTTTTATATTTTAGATTTAATTTGAACGTTAAAATTTTCAGTTCAGGCTAAAAACTGTTATTAAATAATATGAACAAATGAATTATGACTAAGAGATGGATTCTTTATAAAATCAATATTAATTAAACTAGATAAACAAAAGAATATTAAACTAAATCCGATTTTGTGCATTGAAAATTTTGAGATTGGACTAAATTACTGTCTGAAAGTCATTTTTTTCTGAGAAAAAATTCTTTCGACAAAAAGTTAATATGAAAAGGGTGATTCACACTAGTTTAATATTCAGCGTTAAGTGATAGGCTATAATTAATTTAACATATTGAAAAGATATGACGCATATCATAGTAGTGGAAAAGATTAATTACAAATACGCCTCTCACACAGAATATTTGAAAAGAAAAACTTTGAATTATTAGATTATTTAGATGTTTATCTACAATCACATAGAAAATTCATCTATCAAGTAGATAGTAATGAATCTTTCTATTTTTTTTCAAGATGTAAATATATACGAAAGAAGAGCAAAAAAAAGCAAGACTATATGGGTAAAATCAGCGAAAACGGGACATTCACCCGTTGTATTTGAATGCAATTCTCTATCAGTATAGGTGTTTTGAGTGAATTGTTTTGCATAAGCTTATGTAAAATTGTCTGTTCTTTCATATGATTATTAATTAATTAACTAATTAATAATTAACTAATTAAGAAGTAATTAGAGAATATCTCGAGAACCGAATGAGAAAAAAGCTTGAAAACTTCACGATTGGCTTTAGGGTATGAGCTACATATATGGTAAAATTTTCATCGAGATCGGACTTCAAAAAGTTCCTTCCAAAAAATCGACCTTTCAGAGCCCTTAGACAGAGCGGAAATGAAAACGTTTGTCTTAGTATTATTCTAGGACCTCCTACCATTAATATGAGCCCCTTGGAATCGATTTCAGAGTTTTCAGTTCGTTACCAAAGTATTTGATCGGCAGTGCAGTCGTACTCAGTCACGTCGCTAACGCCAAATAGATTTTATTTTTTTTAAAAACCTAGACATGCTCAAAATAATTTTACACTGAGATTTGGTGGCCTTAGGAGTGGTGTCTAGTATCGCGTATTAAGTTTTTGGCAATTGTGCAACACTTAGAAATTTTTAAAAACCAAAGTATATCAAGTGACTTTTGATGTCCTTTTTGGTGTCACGTCGCTAACGCTAGTTTTTCGTTAATAACTCCTCTGAACAAAGCTCTACAGTGTTGTTTTTTTCACAGTATCTAGAGTAAATAGAGACTCGTACAACATTCAAAAATCACACCCAAACCAGTTGATAGTGCCGAGATATGCATACTCCAAGTTTGCGATGTCGCGTCGCTAACGAATGATTTTATCCATATAAAGAACCATTTTCCCATTTACTTGTTCATTAATTTATAATTAAAAGATGCTCTATATGAATTTTCTATTGAATTTGATTCTTGTACATGTTACTCTTGCCACGTTTCATCTGAATCTTCATCACTCAGATCGGGTAAGTGAAAATAGATATCTTATTGTATTACTGATTTATTATCGAAATTCTGTCAAACTGACAATGATCTTTTTCTCAAATTTACTTTTCTTGAATTATCAAAACACAATATAACTAGTCAACAGTTATACTGTTGGTCAGCATCAATTGATCTCGTTGAACGTTATCAATTCTACTTAAATCAATTATCAACAACATCAAATGACAGATCTTTAGAAACAGAAGTTTTTTATAATTGTACATTACCAAGATTTGGTTCAATGTGTCTATATGAATTTATTGATTATCATGATAATTATTCATCGTTGGATGAAATTTTTTATGATTATTATCTTAATCATCCATATGATTCAACAAATTTAACCTGTTATACTCACTTGCAATGTAATCGTGGTCCTGTACCAACATGTTTAACTTGGAGTGAAATTTGTGATGGACAAATAGATTGTCTAGATGGTGAATACGATGAAGAAAATTGTTGGCAACTTGGAATAAATCAATGTAATGACGGTGAATATCAATGTACAAATGGACAATGCATACCAAAACAATTTTTAATGGATGGTTGGGCGAATTATGATTGTTTAGATGGCTCTGATGAAAATTCACCGTTGACTCATCTAATGCCAAAATGTAGAATCAATCAAGCATCATTTGAATGTGAAGAAAGAACCTGTAGAAAAATGTTTGTCACAAATTCCTGCCAGCCGGAGCGTGAGGAACAATTAGTAAGATTAATCTATTCAATGAATGATAATTCCATATCCGAAGAATGTTCATCGGCTCTAAAATACATCTTCAAAATAGCAAATCCAAGTAATTCATTTTTTTAATCACATTTGGACGAAAGAAAGATGTGCAGAAATCATTAACAACACATGTCCAGATATGTTTTACATATCGAATAGTCCACTTCTCTTTGATCATATCTACGTTGCACATAGAAAAAATGACATAATAGGTTTGCTCAAAGATAATAGGTTATGGTATTAACTATGTTATAATCATTCTTATTATGATAAATATTTTATTAATCAAACACCAATAATATTCGAAGGTCGTATCTGTTATCGATATTATTCATGGTTTTGGTTATTGGAGACATTTTCAAGATCGCCATACATTCGAGCTTTACAGGATAAAGTTCGTGAATTAAAGAAATGTGACCATTTCTAACTATAATACTCTACTTTGTAATAAACCCCCCCCCCCCCCCCAGAATAAAAGGCCATGGCCTTCTATTATGGAAATTCACATCGCTCTTTTCAGGGTGGCCTTCTATTAGGGGTGGCCTTCTAATAGGACTTTTATGGTAAAAAATTACAATTTTTTTTTGTTAGTTGCTGATTCTGTTTTTCTAGCTCGACAACTGAAAATTGAAATTTGTTTAGACTTTTTGAGCTAATGCTACCCATGTAGCCGATTTTATGAAATAATGGGCATTGCAATGCATTATTTTACAATAGAAATGCAATGGATGCAATTACATGATAATGCAACCTATTTCATGCATTATAATGCATTATTTTTAATTAATCCATTGCAATACATTGATTTATCAACGCATCATAATGCATTTTTTTTTATAATAATGCATTACAATGCATTGAAAATTTAGGCATTATCCTTCATTTTCAGCATTATTAGAAATAATGCATTGAAATGCATTGAAAAGTCAAAAAATAATTAATTATAATGCATTAATTCATGTTTTCCTTCAAATAATGGAAAATAATGGATCATTTTCCATTATTCATCCATTATCGGCTACATGGGTATTATATTTAATCAACAAATATTAGTATACCTATCCGATGTCTGGCACCACAAATACTTCAAAGAACAAAAAAGTTTTTATATGTATTCAAAAGATATGTAATCGTACCAAAGCAAAAGAATTGAAGCGATCAAATAGGCATATTAAACTTTGTTTTGTTTTGACAGCTTTTGGAAATTGAACATACCTCTTTAAATTTATAGCAAAACCAAACAGGAGTGCGGTGGAGATCATACATGATCTCTCAAAATGCTAAGATATTTATAAAACTAGCACAGAATATTTATGTAATATCCAAACAATTCATTAGAAAGCCATGGCCTTCTAATGTGACTTTTGCAAATATGACTCAGGGGTGGCCTTCTAATGGGGGTGGCCTTCTATTCTGGGGGGGGGAGTTTAGTACAAATACTTATCATTGTATTCGTTCATCAAAATGTATATCGATTAATCGTATTATGGACGGCACATATGATTGTCCTGAAGAAGATGATGAAAATATGACTCATATAAATAGCAATGACTTAATTAAATTTTTAAAGAATCATTTTAAATGTGAAATATCCGACAAATACATTCATCCAGTGTATATTCAAAACAGATTTTGTGATTGTCCCGTCAATGATTCTACATGGTGTGATGATGAATTTGATACGGAAAATTATATTCGACTGAATACTTCATTTCAAACTATTTGTGAAAGATATGTTGAACTTTCTCCAATAATCATCGACAATAGAAATGAGACCGATGAAACAGAATGTCAACAATGGCCATGTAATAATATTTATACTCGTTGTGATGGTATATGGAATTGTCCGAAAGGTGAGGATGAAATTGGTTGTTACTCTCTTCCTGCATTCAATTGTTCGTCTAATCATCATTTATGTGTTTCACCTCGCACAAATCAACTTATGTGTTTACCTATTGAAAAGATTGATGATAACATCATTGATTGTCTTGGTGCTACTGACGAGAAACTATTATGCACAAATTTTCTTTTCGTATCTCACAATGGGTTTTTTTTGTAATGATAGTGATCGTTCATGTATTTCTTTTTATAACCTATGTGATGCAATTGAAAATTGTCCGCATGGAGAAGATGAACAATTTTGTTTGAAGAATCAAACTATTACAACTGAATTTTTTACAACTAGATGGTTTAGTAAAAATTCATCACTTCTTTGGGACGTAGAGAAATTCTTATGTCATGAGACCAAATATTTTCCGAAGTTACAAAGGAAATACTTCACATTAGATGTTACTTGGAAATATGTTGACGAACAAACGAAGATTATGACGAAAACTGTCTTTTCAAATTCATTTATCATGAAAATATTTTCTAAACAACATGTACCAGAATGTCATCGTGGTTTTGGTTTACATGTTTGGTTAAACAAGGAAGAAAATTTAGCAAAAAATGTATGTCTTTGTCTACCTAGTTATTATGGTGATCAATGTCAATATGAAAATCAACGAGTAAGTCTAACTATTCAATTTCAAGCATTCTCTGATTCATTATCAACATTATTCGCAATTATTATTTTACTTATCGATGATAGTGACGAAAGAATTATTCATTCTTATGAACAATTAACATATTTTTCGATAAGAGATTGTAAAATTAAATATAATATTTATCTACTCTACTCAATCAGACCAACAAATCAAACAAAAAATTATTCAATACATATTGATATTTATGAAAAAAATTGATTGAATTATCGTGAAAGTTTGTTATATCCATTAAAATTTTCATTTTTACCAGTTCAACGTCTAGCAGTTGTAGGAATGATTCCAGGAAAATATGAAATTATTCGAACCTGTTCCTATTCTTCATGTGTGGCGTGGGTGTGGGTGTGGGTTTGAGTATGAGTGAATAAAACATCATACCCACACCCACACCCCACACCCACTCACACCCCTAACTCAAACTATAGGAGAGTGCTCTCTAGATGCCTAAATTTTGAAGATTGTTTTCGAGTCTTTGGATTAGTATTATTCAGTATCTTCGAGAAAGTTTGATAGTGGCTTCGATGGGCCTGGTTTGCTCAGACCTATAATGCAGGAAGACAGTGAGCAACCAACAAACTTTTACTTAAAATTCAAATGCACTATTTTAGTCGAGACTTTATCTGACTGTTCCTTATCGTAATGCAAAGAAGCTTCAGTTCACAATCATTTCGATAATAAAATGATTAGTGTTCTTGATTCTTGAAGTTCTGTTCTATGAACCATGCTAGTACACATTACCATGTACGGTTTTTTGCATTTTACAGACTTTGAAATGCATAAACGTTGCTTTTTTGGTGGAGACCGCTACGTTTTCTCGAAGGATGTGGGTGTAGATATGTAGGTGTGGGTGTGGGTATGGATGTGGATGGATGTAGGTGGGTAAGTTGGTGTCGGTTTGGGTGTACCGGTGAGAGAAGAGTCGCATCCACACCCACACCAACACCCAATATTTGTAAAACAAAGCTTATAAATCTGCAGATATTGACAAAGATTTAATTGTTTTCTGGTATGGATAATCATTAAATATAAAAACTCTGATCTGCTAGTGGATGAATCTTTTGAGGCGTTATGATTTGAGTTTTCGACAGATCTATAGAATTGAAAATTGTTCATTCTTCCTTTGAGCTCTCGACTTTTAGAAAGATGACATTTCGATTATTTGACCTAAAATCTTGATACTCATCAAAGTAATCTTTTCAGTAGAATCAAAATTTGAGAAAATCTCTAAGAAAAAAAACCTCATTGTCTCTGCATGTCTCATTACTGAGCACTCGATACATTTAGAAAAAAAGCGAAAGAGAAGATTATATTGAACATAAATAAGTTCACTAATATCATGGCGTAAACAAGTAAAAGATGAATTGAAATAAAATTTTGAAGAAGTTTCAATTAGTAAAAATTACACTGAATAATGAAAATTATTTTTTCATAATTTTGCTTTCATGAGCACTGAAAATTTTGATAAGTTTCGAATGTTCATCGTATGCGTTTTTTAAGATCTGCTAGAGCATTTTTTGTTTTTACTTTTCGAAGTGTTAAAATCTTGATAAATCCCAATATAAATTCTATTGCAAGTTTGATACGGAGAACACATTTTTCATTGATGATGTCGATTCTTTCACTAGTTTATTATTCATGAAAGACAGATTAGGATTCAATCCATTATTTGAAATTTCTCTTTCAAAACAATATATTTCATCAATATCGTGACTATCAATAAATGAAACATATTGTTCCAATCTTTGGCATCTACACTTGTTCATTCGAAGAATTCTGATGTCAAATTTCATGAATATAATTTCTCTCTTTTCATCATCATACATATTAGAAACAGAAGCGAAGAGAGATGAGCAACATATGAGAATGTATCATATGCATGATAAGAAATATAAACAAAATGAAAAAATGACAGAAGAGACGAGGCGTAAGAGAACGAATTGAGATGCATTATCGACTAATAATGTCTGTTCAAATTTTTACAATAGACAATATTCAGTCGTAGCATGATTTTGAAGAATATTATTGATAGAATTAGTATTCATCACCAGAGTTCAAATCGAAAGTTTCTGTTGAACAATGAGAGAAATATACATGATGTTTTATTCAATAGTAACATAAGTACATGCCTTCTATACCAGTTTGTATCTGTGGCATGCTGTAAAAAAATTCTTTCTCGTCTTCTTCTTATCTGTTCTCTCGTAATAGTGAAAATAGAATAATCTTCTTGTAGATCAATTATAATACATCGTTTATTCATTGTGTATTTCAGCTGTTCAAGCATCACTTGATATTAAAAAGTTAAATTTAAAATCAAAATCAATTTCTCCAATTGATCTGTGTCTGTTCAAGTAAGTCAGTCCTTACTAAGATGTAAAGATATTTAATTGTATCAATTCTTTGAATTAGTTTGAACAATCAATTGCATTTTCATCTGCTGTCGAACAAATTTAATAAATAACAGTAAGTCAAGATATCGTTGAGAAAAAAAAAAGAAAGATTTAATTTTTCAAGATTTTATATCAATGAATAGTTCTATAAAGTCGGGCAAAAATATTGAACTCATCGATTTGACAATGGATGAGGATATTAAAGAAGAACCAGCAGTAATAGATAATCAATGTCAATCATCAACATGTCAATATACTTTTCGAATTCTGGTTAAAAATGAGGTTAGTCTATTATATTCAACATCTCTATTGACATTTTTTTTATCTGAAAATGAAAAGAATTTTGTTCATAGTCTTATCCTAAAAGGAAGTCATTTTCTTTAAATTTTTTTGATATGAATCACCTTAATTAACGTTGTTAATTTATTCATGAGAAAGCTGATGTAAAACAGCATGATCTTTCTAAGATTCTTTCTACGGAATAAAAATCTTCAGTAGTGTGCTAATTAGCTAATCAGAATATCATCATTCACTGATGATTCAGTTAAAGGAAGAGCAAAAAAAGATAGATATACATTTCATCGATGGTCACTAAAATAAACAATGAAATTGATGAGTGCAATTAAAAATGATGGACAGAAGAAAGATTATTTAGACCATTGCTTCGGATCATGGAGAAAGAAAGGAAAGGGAAAGGAACGCAATCAGACAGAACAAGAATAGATTTAAGGAGAGCAAATTGTGCGAGACAGAGAAAATGCACATGTCTCAAGTCAAGGACTTGTTAACAACATAGCAATGGACAATTGGATCAGTTGAAGGAGAAATTGTTTTTGTTTGGGGAAAAATGCTTCACCCTATATAAAGTCATATATATCAAGAAGAAATAGGAAGAAAGAAGTGATTCATTGTTCTTCCATGTCTATTTCAAGTCAAGATGAAATCGTTCTTTTAAAGAGAAATGGAACGAAAGAATTATAGTAAATCGTTTGGATTTTTACTGGTGAAGATGGAAATGATGGACAGATTTCTGTGTTGGGAGTGATTCATTTCTTCTGATATATATGGATTCAAATAATGGCTTCTATTATTTAAAAAAGCATTTCTCCTTGACTTTTTTGGAGATAAATCATTTCTGCTCGAAACGAAATACTATTCAGATCTCTGCAATGAATATTGTCTTTAAGATTTCTCAATACTTTTCTTTTTTTAATATTTCACAGATGTTTCATATATACAGTTTTTTTTCCGAGCAGAATTCTTGTTGCTGCTGACATGCGAATAGGATTTTCTTTTTGTTTCAAAAAGTTAAAAGTCATTTTGAGATAAAGTCGACAAAAGAATTAATTCTCAGAAATTTTTTTCATTTGTATTAATTTTCATCAGATTTCAACAACAACAACAGGAACTGTACTAAAACCAACTCTTACACCAATTAATCATCAACAATCATCGAACTTGAACATCTACGATGCTGAAAAGAAAAAACTTAAGGTAATATATTTGCTTCTGTCATTGGCTTGATCAATATATGATTTGAAAAATGATCTCGTTTTGATCATGTTACTTTTCACATTATCGAGAGAGAAATTCATTTATAGATATTGATCAATTGAAAAATCGTTTTATCTAATAATTGTTGAAAGAAAAATATACATGCCAAAATTACGATATTTTTTTTTATTCTAAACAATCTAGCTTGAGTTTTTGATAGAAATTACCGTTTTCAGAAATAATTTGATTAAAATCTTAATTATATATAATTTGATCGAGAGATTCTCAATCGGTTATAATTAATTTTTTTCGATTAATTAGATTTACTTTTATAATCGGTCATAAGTTTTAGAATCAATTAAAATCTCCATGTCATCAAAGCTAATTTAGAGATCTTCAAATGATTATATCATAAAAAATTTAATGTTCAAGTTTCTTAGCGAAAATCAATGTTTTCGTCTGAAAATATGAGCTTTTTCAAAAGCGAGAATTTCCGAACTATGAATAAAAAAAAAATATGCTTTGTAAAGAATTTTATATCTCAAAATGGAAACATGCATTTGGATTGAGACGTTGAACACATCGTAGCACCATTGAGATCTTTGTGAGCAAAACTTCAACTCAAAATTCTACCATTAGATTTTGTATGATACATCTTAATATTGATCAAAGTTTGATAAATTCAATGTATGATGAGCAGTGAGGCCTGTGAGTCTATTGACTCATGAAACAACACACAAATATGAGTATATTTAGCTACAGAGAGAGAGAGTAAGAGAAAGAAAGTGTGATGAAGCACAGCAACGTGCCAATAAGTGATAATAGTGTCCATGTATCGATGGCTCTCATCACATAATGATAACTAATGTACATTCTGCGGATCATTTCGAACACGTAATACGTGCAAATACATTTTTTCTTCTTATCTGTTCTATTATAATAGTGTTAACAGAATGATTCTTGGAAAAAATGTCTTTTGAGCACCAAAAAAAAAGACAATTGAGCACCTAATTAGTTATATGTGAAAAGAGTACCAAAAAATAAGACAAATGAACACCAAATTAGTTAAGTGTGAAAAGAGCACCGAAAAATAAGACAAATGAGCACCAAATTTATTACATGTGAAATGAGCACCAAAAAATAAGACAATTGAGCACCAAAT